TTTAATTTCCTGAGACTCTCGAATTTTGATCAATAATATTTCCAGTGTTAAAACAAACAACAATGGCGATAAAGGACACCCCTGTCTAGTACCTTTCTCTATTGTAAAAACCTCCGACAAACCTCCATTAACAATAAGTTGTGCCATTTGTTTTTGATATATTACCGTAAGAGCTTGTAATATCTTTTCGCCAAAATTCATTTCTTCCATTACTCTTAGCATAAAATGCCAATTCAATTGATCAAATGCTTTTTCAGCATCTAAAAATATGAGCCCTGCAGGAACTTGGTTGTTCTTGTCTAAATATTCTAATAGATTAATAATTTGTCTAACATTATTTTTCATATACCTTCCTGTTATAAACCCTGATTGATCTTTATGCACAAGATGATGCGCCACCCTCATAAGCCTATTTACCAAGATTTTTACAAATATCTTATAATCCACATTTAAAAGAGATATAGGCCTATAATTTTTTGGTAAAGTAAGATCTTGATCCTCAGAATATTATTATTATTATGCAACTGTAGTATTAATTCACACTTGAGCTGCAACAGCAATCTATTGATATGTGGCTTTCGTTAACATTTCAAATGGATGTTTTGATTTGTTCTATAATCTGTTTGTTTGTTTGGCTAACTACGCTATTCTCAAAACTCTTTTGAGCCAACATTCAATATTCAAATTAATAAACTTATTTATGTTATAGACTGTACAGTTCCTACAGTGTGCCAGTTTGTTTTGGGAGTTGGCCATGGGTCCATTCCTCAAGTCTACCATCTGACAAGAAGAAAGAATAAAACAGTTTTTTTTATAAATAAGAAAACCCAGTATGTTGGCTTAAAGATGAATAATTTGTGATAAGATGTGTAGATTAGAAAAGAGTGTTTGTGGACTCTCCAGGAGTAGTTTGGGTTACATAGTGAATACTCTGATGTGGACATTAATATATAAAACATTCTCTTCTATCAGATTAAAGGACCACTTAACCAATGTCCTGTTTCCTTAGGACCTAACGACAATCGCAGTGGTTCCCTGTTCTTGTCTTTCAGCAGAATCTCTGATTCTGGAGACAATATTTTGTTGAGGAATTTTATAGCAACTCTTAAATAGTTTGCTGTACTGACTTAATCCACCCTCCTCATAAACAATTATCATTCTTTCCCAATTAGCTACTCAGTTTTGATCTGTAAAATCACTTGCATTAAAATAACCCACATGATTTTCATGGTCTCCTCCCTCGAATGAATACACTCCCTCCCCCAGCTTCTTTCATTTTCATTAAGTAATTCTTGGCAGAAATGACTGCCTATTTTCTAGGTCAGGTTTGATGGGGAAACTACTGAGAATTGAAGCTTTGCACCACCCACTTCTTATAAGCTGCAGTTTTGAACTGAAAAAAAACGGTCAAAATGCGGATTTTTTTTTCTGTGCATAAAAATCCATCTCTAATATCCTTTAAGCCCCTGGGATCCTTGTCTTCAGGGACAGGAAGAAAAAAACTATTTATAAAACTCCATTCCTTTATTGATCATTTATTGAACAGAGTTGTGTTTCTGCACAGAACTGTCTCTGTGATAGAGACCCAAGCTAACAGAGGCCACAAAGCTCAGCGGTGACAAAGCTCAGCCTCAGGCAGGATTGTGATCTTTGCTGAGAAAAATGCTCGCTATTTAGCCAAAGAAGATGGTTAGCTCTGATTTCTCACCCGTTCACACTGAAGAACTCAGATCTACCCAGGCCATCTTGATTTTCTTGGTTTCAGTTATTTATCATCTTCCTTCAGTGTTAGAAGGAAACAGAATACAAACAAAAGTTATATTCTCTTTTCAGGAAGGAGTAAGCACCGTTCCCAAACACATAGTAGATACAAAATAGTATTAGATATCGGTGTCAAAGTGATCATTTGAGTGCAGTGCCTGATGGACAGATCAATTTCTAGAGATAACAAGGAACCATATATATTTATGTGAATATTGATCTGACTTCAAGGGAACCTACAGAGAGAATTGCTTTGCCAGGCATTGGATACTCTCTCTCTCTCTCTCTCTCCCTCTCCCTCCCTCCCTCCCTCCCTCCCTCCCTTCCTCTTACTTCATCCCTGATATTAATTCTATCCTTTGCCACTTTAAAAAGTGAAAAATAGCTTATTAATGTCTTCCTATTCTCATCCTAGTCTGAAGTAGGATTAACTATGAAATAACATTACATTACCATAAATTCTAACTTGTATACTACCTGGAAGCATCTGATTAAAGGCAGCAAGCAGAATTCTGAACTGAATGAATTCCACCCCCCTCTTTCAATATGACTGCAACTTGTCCATCATATTCCTCCCTTCCTCCCACACCTCTTTAAATCTTAGCTATTTGAAAGTATGAATTGGAGTGGTACATTTATAAGAGATCTCTCCAATATAGCAAGGGAGAGCAGGATACAGCAAATATCTGAATAAGAAACACACTGTTTATTCAAGCCCAATCAAATTAGCTGGACACATTTTTTTACATGTAAATATGATTGACCATGCTCTTTTATGGGGATATACTGGAGAGCATTCAAAGGCAGGGAAGTGAACCCTCACAATCACATTTGATCAATAATTATTACAATTGCAAGTGCACTTGATGAGAGTTGATTCTAAGATCGTTTTGGGTTGAGTCCACTCTACTTTGCTCCCATAGTTATAGTAATCAATAATCCAACAAAACAAGTATGTGAATGCACACACACACACACACACACACACACACACACACACACACACCTTTAATTTTCACTCAGGGAGTTGGTTTTGTTTTAACATGAAATGGAAAAGATTATCTCATGTGAATAATTCTTCCAGGCACAACCCTGTTAGTCTGGTAGTTCCACCGCTATGTTATGAATTTATTAAGTACTTAGGGAAAGGTACTCTATACAATAAAGGATTCTGTTTGCTAGTTTGCAGTGTACAGGCAAAGAAAATTTCCTCATAGAGAAAGGATGGATATACCGCAAAGCTCTCCAATAAAATAAATTTTGTGTCTGGCAGGCTGTAAAGTGCTCAGGCATCATGAAAGCTATTTCGCAGGATTAAGAATTATTTCCTGAATAGCTTGAACAAACAACCGTAGTTCCAGTCTGAGGCACTTCATATGTTTTGGGGGGAGAGTGCTAAAATATAAAAACGAGGCCAGAAACACTGAGCTGTGATGTCAGTACTTCTGCTCAAGACAAAATATGGAGTATCTGTGCACCCAGTTTTCAAGTACTGTTTCTGAGCTTTGCAAACTCTAAAGGGGTTAGTTTCTCTCATATTTATGGCACCACTGGCTTGGTGTTGGCTTAAGAGTCTCTTTTGACCCTTTACTCTCCTTCCTGGTTCCCCATGCTTATTTTCTTTTCTCACACCACCACAAGGGTTACATTTTGCCCTAACATGGAGAAGCATGCATAGTTTTCTCACATCTTTTTAGGTTTTTGATTGTTTTTATGGGTGCAAGACTGTGGCAAAGACAAAAAAAGAAATCAACAAGAAACCAAAGTCAATCTATATTTTTTAAAAAACCAAACTGTATTTTAAAAAGTAGATCTCATGTTGTATAAAAATGCATCTGAAAACTGAAAAAAAAAAATGAAATGTATTGCTCTACCACATGCTCCTCGGATTTCTGCATGTTTCATTAAAAGTGGTAATACTCACTACAAGAAATATTGCACATCCCTTCCTTACTAAATTTCATGCTATATTTACACCTTAGAGCAGGGGTGTCAAACTCAATCTCATTGAGGGCCGCATCAGCATTGTGGTTGCCCTCGGGGGGCCAGGTGGGTGTGGACAGGGTGGGTGCGGCCTATTGGGTGGGTGTGGATGGAGTGGGTGTGGCCTACTGGGTGGGTGTGGCCACCTCTACATCATTCGTGTCAAGGGTACCTGTGGGGGTGGGGCCAACGCAGCAGGGGCTGGTTCCTCGCTGTTTCCAGATGGCCTTGTGAAGCTAAGACTGAATGTGTTTCAGCATAGATGGCCACCACAAAATTGTATATTGGCTCCTGGCCGGCCTGGGCCAGGGCCAAGGCACAGGGGGCCGTTCCCTCACTGTTTCCAGGATGGCTTCGTGGGCCACATGAAACCACTTCACAGGCCGCATCCGGCCCCCGGGCCTTGTGTTTGACATCTGCCTTAGAGGAAGAAATTGTGATCATCTGCATAGTGAAGCATGTTGGCTTCTGGCTTCTATGTAAACTTGAACCTGAAGGGATACTGTGGACATAACTTCTGAATTAAGCTTGCCTTCACTGTTCCTTCTTTTCTTCAGTCTACTTCTTTGAAGGAACTTTATTAGGTTTTCAAAAACTTATTTATCAAATGTATATTGCTGTTTATCACAGCAGAAGTGGCTCAGTCCAACAATCAAGTAAAATAATGATATAAAACAGTCATTGTAAAACAATCATTGTGCAAACATGAAAAATCATTATTAAAAAATAAAACATGATGGAAAAAAATACAATATGCAAAACTCAAACTGACAGTGCAATCTTAACAGGAAGCCAGAGACACCATCCCTCTATTTATCAAGAGCAGTGTTTCCCAAACTTGACAATTTTAAGGCATGTGGACTTCAACTCCCAGAATTCCACATTGCTGGCTGTGGAATTCTGGGAGTTGAAGTCCTCATGCCTTAAAATTGTCAAGTTTGGGAAACACTGATCAAGAGTAAAGAGGAATGTGGTTTCTAGCATAGCTCATATGCTACCAACTCTAACTTAAGAGGAATATTATCAGCAAGCTTGATAATCAGCTGTCTGAAACCAGTATCTGTCTTGCTATCAAAGACCAAAATATAGGGTTAAACATTGCAGGTTACCTGACCTATACATGGCAAGTGAACTTATGAAAAGCAATCATGTGAGCTCAGCTAGAACGAAAGTTCACCCAGTGAACTTTATGGAATTCAGAACCGAACCGATGGTTGTTGATTCGTATCTGGAATAATTCTCACACTTGGCTTTACCTGAACCACAAATACCAACATGGCAGAGTAAACAGAATTGGAACTGCATCAGGAACTATCAGACCAAACACTGGCAGTAAGGCATTGTTGCATCTTTGTCTCTGACACCTGACAGATAAAAAACAAATTATAGTAGTTAATATGAGATAGGAGATTGTTAAGGTGGCTAAGACAGTCTTGAGGCCCTTGTTGTAAGAGTCTTCCAGATCTGCATTATGTCTTAGGAGGATAAGCTTCCCTGCCTTCATCAGTTTAGTTATTTTACAGGTAGTCCTCCATTTATGGCCATTTATATAGTTACTGTATGATGGTGTTAAATAAAGTGACTTACAACCACTCGTCTCACTTACAGCTGTTGCAGTGATGAGATCAAAACTTGGGCCCTTGGCAACTGGCATATAGATAATCTCCAGGAGGTTTTCAAAAAGCAATGTCAATAGGAGAAGCTGGATTCATTTAATGACTGTGATTTGCTTAACAACCATGTAATTCACAACAAATATGACCCAAAAGGTTTGAAGATCATTTGTGACAATTGCATTGCTTAGCAACAGAGGTTCCAGTCCTAATTGTGGTCATAAACCGAGGGTTACCTATAATGTATTAATCTAATTCATAACCTACTGAATTGACCAAGGACTCTTGGCATTTCTGGAGTATGAGAATATATTGCACTGTAGGATTTCCACAGCTTTTCATCACGTGTCCTGGCTGTGGTCATGGAAACCACAATCACACTGAAGGGAAAGCAACGTTATTTCGAACGATAGAACACATTATTGGCCATTGTCCCACATGTCTCAAAGAGAAGGCCACTTTTATCAGTTGATTTGATTATCACGGCAGGCAGCAAATTTCTAGTGATTTATTTAATTCTGCATTTATTACTGCCAGGAAAGGAGAGAATTCTGTAGGATTTTCTCCTTTAGTTCTGGGTTCTAGTTTTGCCAAATCCGGTACTTCTAGTTACAACTGTCCTGGAATTTTTCTTGGTTTGGGGTCGACTGGGAGAGAAAATGGCTGTGATTTGTTGCTGCCTCTCCAGCAACAATTGACAACAGGTATTGTTCTGTTCTGAGTGTTGGTAAGGCATTGAGACGAGGCAGGAGTAACAACAGTTGCTTCTTTATTCAATTTTCAACAGAACAACACAAAATGGCACGGATCCCTTTTATACCCTTCTGCAGGGAGCAGCGTCAACCAATAAATGTATTGTATTTTTCCCGCCTTGCACAAGTGCAATAGGCTGGAGACAGCCAGTCTAGCCAGGGCAGCCTCATGGTCTGCCCAGGACTCTCTGCAGCTTCCTGCACCTGCTGTGTCAATCACAGCCCAGGACATAACAGATATGTTTTTCATTTTTGCAGAAGGCATCTTTTATTTTTTAGAACATGGAACACCCTGTCCTGCATAAACCATCAGGTTCCCTTGTACTGGCCTGGTAAAACCACAGTTACTTTACTATTTCTCTCTGCAGGCTCTTTAGCAGGCCCAGAAAACAGTTCACTGGAGAAAAGTTGTCACATGCACTGATTAGTCAACATTTCCCCCCCCTTCCCCCCCCCAAGAGCAGTACCTGTGCCATCTGTGTTTAGCACGCACAAAGAACCCTCTTTGCAACTGCCATACAAATCAGGGGCAGGATGAAGGTCACACTGAAGGGATTTTAGGACAGGGAGAAGATGTTCAGCAGCAGTAGGGAAGATGTAACAGCATCCCAACACAAGTTCGCAAAAATCCCAAGCTGCACCTCCCCAGCCTGGAGCTGCTGAGAGTCCACTGGGAAATGTGTATTATGCCTGGGTTAATTTACTGATTAATCTCTAGTCAGTGGTTTGTGCTTTCCCCAGATGGCCAATTAAAATTTACAACTGGCAGAACAGTGCCCTGTTGGCAGACTGCTGGGGGGGGGCAAAGCTGGAGGCAGTGACAGAAGGTGGAGGCCTAATTCCTGCCTTTTTTTAAAAAAAAAAAAAAAGGAAAGGAAGAAAAAGCTACCATTTTTATTCCGTAGTAGGATATAACCAGGAAATATGGGCTGCCTGGTGCAGTTTCATTGCAGCACCATTTACTTTCCAGAATTGCAACAGTATTCGAGGCATCATTGGTTTTACCAGCCGCAAATACAATTGACAAAATCAGCCAGGGGGCACAACTGATTTAACAGCTTTTGAAATGTAATAGCGTTCTCCCCCCCTCCCGACACTCCCGATTTGCGGTCCACGTGGATTGATAGTCTAATATCATTCACTTCCTCACAAATATATGAAACATTCACTGTTATTTGCGTAAATCAAAGACAAAGTGCCGTGTGTGAAGCTGATAATAAGTAATGCTGTGGTACAGATAAAGATAACATATTTTCATGGCAAGGGCACGGGGAAAAAAAAAGAATCCGACGGCTTCTGCCACTTTGCATTTCTTCCCCAAATGCACTGACACATGAATTGGAATAAAATATGGCAACACAGTGTTTCAGATAAATTTCAACCAAGACACCGTTTCTTCAAACCATGCATTCTTAAGCATGTGCAAATATGTAAAAAAATCTTAAATATGTGCCGGCTATGTGGAATGGAACATCCAAGGTAAACTTTTGACTGTGCCTATTTAATTTGCTTTAAAGAAATAGGGTGACATTTAATTAAGGCAATATGTAATTTTAAAGTACATTAAGAATGGTGATAGTACAGTGAATCATACCAAATGGCCACAAAAATATACTGAAAGGCTCTCTGCCATCATGCTGTGCTGTGAGGTCACAATGACTGTACACTTCTAACTGGTTGCACAGTTTATTGCCTACTATTTTGTTTTCAAGTTGGGTCATAATTATTGATGGAAAACCTAACAACCACAAACCTGGAAGTAAAGTTGACTAGTATTGCCACACAGCAGTGTGTCTCAGTGTTGGCTACCTGAAGATGTGTGGACTTCAACTCCCAGAATTCCTCAGCCAGCAAGGTGAAAAGAACGAAAGGATTCACTTAACAACTATATGATTCATAACAACTGCAGTGATTGGCTTAACAATCATGGCAGGCACAAAAATTTGTAAAATTGCTTAACAAGTACTTTGCTCAACAATGGAAATTATGGCCCCAATTTTGGCTGTAAGTCAAGGACTAACTGAAGGAGAATCAAAGAATCTTTACATTCCTTGTAATACTAGCACAAAAACTGTGATGTTCAATTCTAGTAAAATATTTTTAAGGGCTGCCATAAATTAGTATATTTGAATACTTTCATTTTTTAAATCATAAGAGGCACATTTTACATTTCCTTCCACTTGGATCTATTGAGTCTCCAAAATTAGACATTCTAGTTTTTTTATTCCAAATTTAGATCCGTAACTAACACTACTTTTAAAATTCTTATAATATTGGATGTTGGTTTCCATTCAAGCGCTGCATCTCCCAAGAATTCTAAAAGTGTTAGTACCTTGGAGACTATCTGGAACATGCTGTTTAGTTAGTACTGTACAAGTTTCAGTAAATATTCTCAAGCAAATGTTGTAAGTCATTTGCAAAATACAATTTCTCGAAGTCTTTAAAGTAACAATTAGCATTCAACTGATTCAAAATACTTGTCCAAGCACTCAGATAAAACATCTTTCCCATTAATTTCAACTTTAGGTTATTGTACAATATCCATTTCCCATGTAATTCGGAATCAAGATATAACCACTTATCTGACATTAATTACATATGACTGGCAACTTTCAACAATAAAGATGTCTGTTTAATATGCCTGGATCCTAAAACTTGGGCAAGAGTTCAGAGTTATTACACATTGATTCTCGTAGAATACGCATAGAAAGTTCATCCCAAAAGATTTTAGATTTTAAGATAAAAGGCTAATAATTAAGGTGACCAACTTTTTTACAATGAAAAGGAGGACACAAATAAATTGAAGAAAAAAATATCGTAAATAAAAGAAACATTTTATTCATTGCAACAATAATACAGACAACTTGCATGTGCAAAGTTTGCCAGCCGTGTGTTTTGGCGCGCTCAGCAGCAATTCCTATTGGCTTTCGAAAGCCAATAGTGGGAGTAGCACAGCTCATGCAAAAGTTGAAAACAAAACCCATCAAAAAAAGGTGCCAGAACGCCATTCTGAGCGTTCTATGAGGGGGAAAAAAAGCCCTGCAGATTAGTCTTCAAATATCGAAAAGGAGGACATGAAGGAGGACACTTTTTGAGGGAGGACAGAACTTACAAAAGGAGGACTGTCCTCCCTAAAGGAGGACGGTTGGTCACCTTATAATAATATACGTGAATATCTGCTAGGTTAAAGCCACCACCACTACCACCATCATCATAAGATGTCCCCAGTTTGTCCAAGGGTATTCAAGGAGCTTAATCCTGTCATGAAAATATTCTTATTACTGGTAGCTTTCCTATGAGAAGTATCCGACAGGCTTTAATATTGAAATCCCTGCTAAACTATATATTAATCTTGATATATTATTTATTTAATGGGCAAAAATTAAATTTTATTTTACTTTGATTTAATTAACATTTGATTAAGCTCCAGGTGTGTTTTTAATTTCTGCCCCTTGTTGGCACATTAAAAATTATAGTTTGGTAACAAGAGTTGCTCTGTAAGTGAGAGGGGCGGTCTCTAAATTTGATAAATAAACAAACAATATTTTGAAAAACTCTGAGAATTTGCATCCATGAGGTTTGGAAATTATTTGTGGTGCTGAAGCCTCACTTCCATTTAAAACTATCATGTTACTGAGCACTAAGCCTACCCTTGGAGAGGTTTTTTTTCCCCCAGAAAAGTAAAGAACGAATCCCCTTTCTGGAACTAAGACAGTAAGTGGTATTTAGAGCAATTTTTTTTCAGAAAGATAATTGCCATCACCAGCTGCCACAGTAGAACCTTTGGATAGAAATGGAATCTGGATGCCATTCACTGAGATCTCTCCTGTAACAATCCATTGCTGTTTCCTTTCCTTTTCAACAGAAATTTCAACAGAAACCCAGTTTGGGCTTAATGCAGGAATGTCCAACCTAGGCAATTTTAAGATCTGTGGAGTTCAACTCCCAGTTATGCTGGTTGGAGAATTCTGGGAGATGAAATCCACAAGTCGGGTTGCC